ACAAGCCATGGCAATGGAGCAGATATAGGGAATGAGAGAGAGTGAGGAGTTAAGGATTATACTTGGGTTGCTAGTCTGGGTGACAAGAAAGATGTTGGTACCCTTGACAGTAATGGAGAAGTTAAGAAGAGGGAAAGGTTTGGGGGTTAAGATAATGAGTTCAGTTTTGGACATGTTCAGTCTACAGGCCATGTAGTCTGAGATATTTAATAGGCAGTTAAGAAATGAGACTACAGGTCAGCAGAAAGGTTGCAGGTGAATAAGTAGATTTGAATATCATCTCTATAGAGATAATTGATTCCACGGGAGTTGATGAGGTCACCAAGTGAAATAGTATAAAGTGAAAAGAGAAGAAGGTCCCTGACAGAGCCCTGTGAGACACCCACAGTTAGCAGGTGTGACCTGGACAAAAATCCAGCAAAGGAGACTTCTCCTTAGGAGAATTCTGGTAGGAAAAAAAACCCAAGAGAGAATGTTACAAAAACCTAGAAAGAAGAGAATATCAAAGAAAAGATTTTGGGTGATCAACAGTGTCAAAAGTTATAGATAGGTCAAGGAGGATGAGGACTGAGAAAAGACCGTTAGATTTGCCAGCTAAGCATAACAAAGCTGTCCCTCACATGTAATATAGGCTGTTTCATGTGTGACTCAAAGGGAGACAAGAATAGTTACCTCTAGTGTCTCTTCTTCCCCCCATACTCACACACACACTCTTCTCCAAGGGAGACTTTAATTCCTGCCAGGAGGAAAAGCAGGAGATTGTAGTTGGAGGCTAGCCACCACTCTGCTCTCTTTGGAGAGAGGACATACTGGGCAAGAATTATATTTATCTACTCACTTGAATAGTATTAGTCTAGGTGATGTAGTTTTCATGTTGAAACTAAACTCCCAATTCCTAGTTCCTAATGGGAAAAAAGACCCCAAGCTTTATAACCAAAGCTCGACCCCCTTCCCATTAGATACCAGTTCCACAATGAACAAAACAAATAGCAAAGAAGCCAAATTATCCAAGATAGCAAAACAGAAATCAGTGAAAGTATATGTATATGTGTGTAGGTGTGTGTATACATATATACAACTATATATAGGGAGATAATAGCTATAGAAGATGTGAGGAGGAATGAAAAGGTTCAGAAGAGCCACTATGGTGAATAGGATAGTGAGTCATTACAGAGGTATAAAAGGATTGCCTTGATGCAATAAAGGCTCAATTGAGATTATGTGCTATAAATTTATAGTGGATCCAATCAGGCCACTTTTATGATTTTCTCTAGATTTGTTTGGTAGCATGTGAGTAGTAATGAAGGTAGCAAATGGTGGGAGTAATTCAGGACTGAGGATTAGCCAGGCATGATCAGCAAAAGGATAAAGGGGCAACGGATTCAAGAGAAGAGAACAATATAGAGATTAACTGGTTCATTAAGGTGTCAACATGGGCAAAGCAGGAAAGGGGAGTCAGCTCAGGGGTGATGGCCTGGGAAAGAACTAAGGAGTCAAGAGATTGGCAGTCATAGGGAGAACAAAGAACAGGGCTTGATTTGCAAGATATATAGACATAGTCATTCAAGAGAAGATAAAAATATATACATATATGCACATATATGTGTGTGTTCAAGAGATGAGAACACAGCAGAGTTAAACTGGTTCACTAAGGGGTCAAGATGGGCAAGAGTATAGAGAACAGTGTGGCTAATGCTACATACCTAGATTGAGATCTGAATACATACACTACCTCAGATATATTGTATATCACATCTATATTATGTATAATAATATAGAATCTCTTAACCAATTCCTTCCACAAAGGCATGTGTGTATGTGTGTGTGTGTGTGTGTGTGTGTGTGTGTGTGTGTGTGTGTGTGTGTAGTATAGAGTGTTCAGGAGGACTAGAACCTTTGGTGTGAGGGTTTGCCAAGCCCTTTTCGGGGCTGTTCATCCACCTGATTCAGGGCTGATTCACCTAACTCTTACCTGTGGCTCTGAAAAGATGTAGCATGTGCAGTGGCCACACTCTGATAAACCATCTCCACATATAGATTAAGTCAAGTTGGGGGTAACTGACAGACCTCAAACTTGTTGGTGAGTTAGGGGGATGTCTACCCCAAGCATGTATAGACTTTTCCTCAAAGAATAAGCCATCACCAGTAGTCTTGACATTTGTCTTGTTACCGAACTTTGATGACTCAGGAAGAGAGAATGAGGCTGATGATTTTGTATGGCTCTGCCTCACTTAAATCCAAATCACACACAAGTCAAGATATTACCTATGATGTCACTGATCCTTTTTGAAAATGGACAAACAATAACTATATATACATATATATATATACACACACACATATATATACACACACATACACACACACATATATATGTGTGTATATATATAATATACACATACACACACACACATATATATGTGTGTATATATATACATATACACATACACACACACACACACACACACACACACACACACACACATATATATACACATACACACACATACAAGGGTGGGAATGTCCTAGTAGGAGGGCAGGAGTTAAAGAAGAGAGAAAAACTCAGTCAGACCCTGAACTCATTGAGGAAAGAAAAAGAGCATCTTGGAGGTCAGTAGAATAGCTATAAGAATTTTGATTGGGTGATAGATATGGATTGAGTTAATCTCAAAGGATGAGAGGTTGTGAGTGATGGAAGGACAAGGAGATCCCAGAAGTGGCAATGGGGATCAAAGACTATTTCAACTGCCTCATCTTGACTGGTATATTGGGGGAATAAGGAAAAGTTCAACCAGTGTTGGAAAGGGTAGCCAGAATGTGTTATTAAGAGGAAGTTAGAAGATGAAAGGGGTGGGAAAGGAAAAGTTTTAAGATGAGGACAAACTTTTTACCTATGAAGTACATATTCCAGGGAACCCAGTGGAAAGGGTGGGTGGCTTTAGTTTAGCTTTATAACATTGAGAGGGTTGTGTAAAGGATATAGGATAAAGGAGAATGCAGTGGGTGTATAAAAATGGGGTCTGTATAATAAAAGTAGGGTTCAGTATCACTAGGGTGGAGAGAGTATGTCCGAGAGCTTGTTAATAATTCCCAAATGAGTTCACGGGGTTATTAACATCCCTACAGGTGCAGCCTTAATGTGGGGTCATCTCAGAGTGTCGGGCAGATCAGGAAACAGGACCAGAGTGTGCAACTGATAGCATTTCTCCTTTGTCCTTGAAGGTAGGCCAAGCCAGGAGATAATCAAAAAGACCCAAAAGGAATGGTGTTTCTATGTCCCCTGTAAGCAGGAAAGGTCCCCTGACATTTTTTCCCAGTGATAACATCAGGTGAGACAAAAGCATGCAAAATAATCACTCTACAGATGAGGAATCACAGTGTGATGTAATAAGAAGAACACTAGATTTGGAGTCAGATGGCCCTGGCTCAAATCATGGCTCTAACACATACTATAGATATGAACTTGAGCAAAAGAAAGTTGAAGGTTTTTTTGTTGATTAATTGGGGGAAAAAGAGCATCAAATAGAGGACCTGGATGGATGGGTTTATGATAATGAACACAAGAGATAAGTCAGGAATATTAGGCTCTTATTTCACTTTTTGAAAAAAAAAATAGTTCTGTTAAGGAAAATGATCATTGGATTAGAAAGGAAAGAAAAACAATGGTTAATAAGAAGGCAAAACCAAATATAATTAAGGAGATAATAAGAAAGTACCTAGCTTGATTCTGATAAGTTTAGATCAATAGAGCTGGACAAAGGGTCCTTAAATTCTTGGTGGATGTAATTGATGAAGCACTATGAGAGATCCTTGAAAATTTATAGGAAGAAAAAAATATACACAATGGCCATAATTTTGTAAGTCAAAACACAAAATAAAAATCAGATTAAGTGAAATGACTCATTGATTCCACATGAAAAAAATATACCACCCCTGTCTCAGTAGAGAGGTGGAGGTCTATAGGTACAAAATCTTCCCTACATTCTCAAATTTGATTATTATGGTACTGTGTTTTGCTTAAAACTGTTTTTGCTTCTTCCAAGAGAGTGTTGTATGGAGGGTAATGATATTAGGAAATGACAGTAGTATAAAAAATTGAAGGTTTTTTCATGGAATTTGAGAAAGAAGTTATGAGATATAAACAGACAAATGTTCTGATTTTAATAAAATGGAAGAGGTAAATGTGGAAGCTATGACCTGATGAGCCTAACTATTATTATAATGAAAATCTGTGTTATTAAAGGGGTGGTTAGTACAAAAGAAAGCAATAGCCACAAAGAGCCAGGATAGATTCATCAAAAACAAGTTATACTAGACTAACCATATTCCCTTTTCTGATAGATGCCTGCCTGGTAGATTAAGAGAAGACTATAATTTACTTAGATTTTAGCAAAGTATCTGACAAAATCTTTCACACTACTCTGTGGATGAAATGACTAATCGGGGCTAGACCAGAAGTGTTAAATTTGGCTGCAAAACTTCCAGTTGGGGCCAGGACTAGATTAAAATGCAACTGGGCAATGTTTAACAAAATAAATAAAAACTTAGTGGTTTTCTAAGTCAATATGTAGCCTGCAGGGATCCATTTCTATTTGAGTGAAGTAAGCAGAACCAGAAAGATGATTTATATTGTAACTTCAATATATAAAAATGAACAATTTTGAGGACTTTTATAAACTGCTAAAGCAATGAGGAGAACCAGGAGAACAAATTCCACAAAAACATTCTAAAACAATATTGAAAACATATAATGACCATTCAGGATTCTAAAAGTTGGATTTCATTTTATCTGAGGTCCGATTCAACTATGAGATTCAATGATTATGTGAAATCACCTAATCTCTGGGGCCTAGTTTCTTAATCTAAAATACCAGGGGGTCAAAGTCAGTGGTATCTAATATCCTTTGCAATTCATATGCATGTATGTATGTATGTACATATACATATGTGTGCGTATGTGTGTAATATTACGTATGGACATCATAGAATGGAGAAATTACCTTCAAATAGGAAAATATAAACTAATTTTCCAACATCTCCAGGTGGTCATCCTCTTGACTGTGTCCAATGTATTCTCCACCTTCTACCAAATAGAACAGTCAAAAAGTCATTAGAATCTTGAGACAAAGAGAAGCAGTTGGTGTCAGGGATAAGGAGAACTGTGTTAAATGAAACATTCCTGTACCACTCCTTTTGTACCCCTAGGGAGCTGCAGAAAAGATAGGTTTTGCGATAGGAAAACAAAGTGCCAGATAAAAAGTTAAACTCTTGGCATGGACAAGTGATCAAATAATTGATCCAGAATGCATCTGAAAGACATACACATACTGGCATAATATAATAGATATGTTTCTGGGGGAAAATTATTTGCAATCACAATTTTGAAAATAAGATTCTACTATTTAAAGCAATCCCATTTCTTTTTCAAAATGAAATAAACTAATAAACTTAGTAATCATCATCTAATTGATTGCTGTGGAAATAATCCAGATATTCATATATTGGATTGATTTGAGGTAGTCATATTTCAATCAAATATCTAGCTTTTCTAATCCAAGCTTTTTGCTTCAGTAGGCCAATTAGAGTTTCTAAGCAGCCCAGAGAGAAGATGGAGTTATCTATAAGGGAAGGTATACCAAAAGATTTTTATTCCTACTCTTCACTGGGAATTATCCCTATGGCCTGGTCTTAGGGTTCTGGACATGGCAAAGAAAGAAGACAGTTCCAAAATACCCCCATTTGCATCTCTCTTTTCATTTAAGCATGAACTAGGACAAGAACAGGAGAAAAGTGATATATCTAACTACAAGTAAGAAAGACAATTTTTAGTCTTACCTTTAACCAGTTAGTTGAGTGGAAAATGGAAGTGATGTGATGTACACAGCTATAACCACTGATTATTTTAAAATTTCAATTGTTCACCTAGTTCTGTCCTTGATTTTACTTGTCCAGGAATTTGGGGATGGGTTAAACAGGGTCCTTAAAGTACAGTGGGCACGGATCTCCACATCAAATCACACATTTTTCCAGGGAAAATTCTTAAGTGGTTTTAAAATTCATTTTGAATATTTAGTTACTGGTGCAAACTGATGTTTATTTGGTTAAAGATTGATTATTATTTGGTTATTATTATTAAAAATTAGTTATTATTCTTTTCCCAGTTGGTTGACTACATTGTATTTTCATGAAACTATGGTCACAAATTTGTTGATCTAATGTTTGCCATTGTCTAGCTTTACAGAATATAAGAATTGGAGCTTTGAATGGGATTTCAGGAACCAACGAGGTTAATTCCCTTCTTCCTATGAACAAAATAAAATTAAGAGGATAACAAACAAAAACAACAGTCACAAACAACTCATGCTGATATTTTGTTGTTATTTAGTCATTTAAGTCATTTTTGACTCTTCACTACCCTATTTGGGGTTTTCTGGGCAAAGATACTGAAGTGGCTTGCCATTTCCTTTTCTAGCTCATTTTTACTGATGAAGAACTGAGGCAAACAGAGTTAAGTGACTTGCCCAAGGTCACACAAGTGTTTGAGGCTATATTTGAACTCAGGAAGATGAGTCTTCCTAATTTCAGGTCTGACACTCTATCCATTGCACCACCTATCTGCCCCTCATACTGATATAGCACCTTGTAATTTGTGAAGCTCCTAAGATAACATAATCTTATTTGATCCTCACAACAGCCCTGTGAAGTAAGCATAATAAGTATTATTAACCCCATTTTATAGAAGATACTAGACTCTAAATGATTTGCCCAGGGTCACATAGTCAGTAAATAAACATTTATTAATCAATATGTTCTGTTCACTCTCCTAAGCACCAGAGATCCTAAGGAAGGCAAAAGGCTGGCCCTGCTCTAAAGGAGCTCCTTGTCTAATGGGGAAGATGACATGAAAATAGCTATGTACAAAAAAGCTGCATTCAGGATAAATTGGAGATAACATAGCGAAAGCATTTAAAATCAAGGGGAATCAGGAAATGCTTCCTGTGGAAAACAGGATTTTAGCTAGGATTTGAAGGAAGCCAGAGGGACGTGGTAAAGAAGGTGAAGATAAGGAAGGACAGAATTCCAGGCATGAGAGACAACCAATGAAAATACTCAGAGTCGGGAAATGGAGTATCTTGTTTGATGAACAGCAAGGATGCCAACGTCCTAGATCTCAGAGCATGAAGGTAAGGATAAGGTAGAAGGGGTAAGAGAGATAAAGCTTGGGGAGGGGGGAGGACGCAGGACGCAAAGGGTTTGTACATCAAATAGAGGATTTTATATGATCCTGGAGATGACAGGTAGACACTGAGGTGACATGGGTTAGACCTGAGCCTAATTTAAATGACCTCTCCAAGTTTAGAATGTCAATTGATTTATACTTAACTGTCATGTGTGTCTGAATGATAGATATAACAACTTATATTAAACACTACTTTAATTATTAGAATATACTTACTTCATAACAACTCTATGAGGTAGGGAAGTTGAGAGAACATAATTGATTTGCCCGGTGTCTCACAAAGTGTTAGGACTGATATTTGAATTCAGGTCTTCTGACTCCAATTCCTGGCCCCTCCCTTCAAAACACCTGTTCACAGTCAAAAACAGCAACTGGCTGTACGCTTCATTGACATGATATTTGGAACTTGTAGTGTTAATGTAGTGTAAATAATGTGTGGGGGTGATATAAGAGGTGGTGTGATGGAGCCAGCTCCTATGGGCTGGAGAAAGTAAGTTGTTAAATCTTCAGTGTGAGCATTTATACCTCAGAAATCAGGAAATGCTACAAATCAGGACTTGATTCGTTTTGTTGATTGTCAAGAGACAGAAAAGGATGAACAACAAGTTGATAATCCAGGTTAAATTTAAAAGTGTGTCATAGGTATTTTTTTTCCTGGAGAGCTTATTAAACATTTAGCAGCACATCCTAGATATAGGTATGTGTATTGCTTGTCGTGTAAAACTCAAACCTTGCCCTGCTCCTTAAGCTTGGAATGGCTGCAATGAGAATGGCTCTTACATGCTATGAATATAAATCAAAGCCAAAACATTGTGCCTTTATTTCCACCAAAGTCAAATATACTTTTTTACACTGCTTTGTGCTCCATTAAGAAGAACATTATGTAAATGCAAGGCAGAGATTCACTGTAATAAAACCCATTAAAACATACAATTCATTACAATGCAGGACTATTTTGGCCAAGGGGTTGGCCAAGGGGACTCCATTACCAGAGGCACCATTGGATTTTGTTGACACATATCTCAACCATAACCCTATCCATGGGGTAGACATTAGGACAGAGTCATATTGATTGGTTCAGGGTGTTTTATTGCTTTTGAATGGCTTGAAAATATCTCTTTGAACTAGACAGACTGTGCACTGAAAGGTTGCATTCCTCTTCTGTCCTTATCATTTGCTTATATTGTGTTTTAGGTGAAAGCAGCACTTCATGAAGTAAAATATGCAAATGAGCAAACAAAAATAGAGAATCCATTGCCCCAAAGCACTTACAAGGAAACTTGACCCTTCAGTTCTGTCTTCCTGTAATGACCATATATGGTGGGAACTATTCTTTGTCATTATTCTGGGGGCGACAAGTTCTCTTGGGTTCACTGGCAGTCAATCATGTTCTGATCCTTCTGCTTTGAAATGAAAAGAAGGTTAATTGGGGGGACCTTGTGCTGCCTTTGTTCAGCAATGACGTCAGAGCCTGATGAAAACTAATTCTTCTATTGCAGTCCATGAATACATGAGGTGATCCAAAAGTACAAAGGGCAGAATAAAACTAAAAATTGATTACATATACATGCCCACACACATAACACATACAAACCCAGATGTCTTATTGGGTAGGTAGAGCTGATATTTAACTATTGATTATAATTTCCTAAAAACATAGGTTAGTCACTAGCAAACATCTTAGAAATTTTTATTTGCAAAATTATTCTGTTTGGGACATTCCCCATAGATCAGGATCAATGTAATGGTTGCTTGTACCAGATTTTCAGGCAAGTATATAGCATTTGCATATTTACTAAACTTTTATAAATATTATAGATGAAGCAACAAATAATTAGAGGAGTATTATTTTATCTAAGGACAACAGGAAAGCATATTCTTTGAACTCTTTCCCAAGGTCTTTGTAGGAAACATGGGACCAATGTATGTAATCACAGTATCATGAATTCACTTAAACTTCTCCCATGCTGCAAAAGGCATGAAAAAATTAGAGCTAACATGCTGATTTTGCCGTGCGACCTTTCAACTGGAAAGCATAGGCCTTCCTATTGTGGCAAGATCAGGTACCTGGCTTCATACCTGACCAAAAAAAAAAAAATCAGAAAAATGTAGGACACCTAAGAGTCTGAGGGTTGTAAGAAAAGAAGCCCTTCAGTCTGAGGCAGAAGGTACCTGCTTATGGTGAATGCTCATGATTGTGTACTTGGCCTGTTTTTCATTTTTCTAATTCCTGGCCTTTGAATTTTAGACCGTCTGAAAGGAAAATGTAATATGTTGAAATACTGATAATATTAGCAAGACATGGCATGTAGGAATAGCTTTAGTGATTCCAGTAAGAATTTATTTTCTTGGGTTGTTAGGAGTTTGTTTATAAATTCATTTCTGCACAAAAGTGATGGACAAGACATTGGGTTTTTGCTTCATCTCTCCCATTAACTAGCTATGTGATTTTGGACAAATCACTTAATTTCTCTGAGTCTCATCTGGGAGGGTTGGTAAATTGAGAATGTTGGACTAAACGATCCCTAAGGTCTCTTCCAGCCCAAAATTCTAGGAGGCAATGGAATCAGAAAAGCCAAGTTCAAATGCTGGCTTCCAATTACTACTAATACAAATTTGAGCAAGTCACTTAACCCTTCTGGGCCTCAATTTACTCATGTGTAAAGCAAAGGGGTTAGACAGAATGATCTCTGATGTACCTTCCAGCTTTAAAACTATGATACTATGATCTAAAGCTCTAATTGTGTGTACTGTAAATTTCATATTCCACATACTCTTTTGTTAATTAATTTATTTCACATGCATATCTTGTCTTTCTAGATACAA